ATCCACTTGAAAAAGATACAAAATAATCCTTAGAATTCCTAGGCATTTCTAAACTAACTTTGAATATTCTCCCCAGGGTTAAATTTCAGACTGCCGGGCATTTAGTCAACTTAAGACCGAGCCCGTAGAATTTCTAAGTGTCGATAAACGAGCGATTTTGTAGAATAGTTTTTGTCCACTTAAAAAAACAATTTTTGGAATCGCTCAACGTTTCCAAACGAACATATGATACTCCTTAGAGGTTTGAAATTTGAGTGGAAATTCTGTGAAAATATCTGAATGTTGGGTATTTGACAACTATAGAAACCTGAATTTATTGAACTAATTAGGTTTACTATGCTAAGTCAATTCTTTGTCATCGTTCAGAGTATCTAAGAAAGGTTTTCTTCTAAACTTCGTAAATCATATTGATTTAAGGAATATTCTAGAAAAGGAGTTTGTTAAATTGTGGCGTAATCATAGCATACCTCTGAGGTATTCTGGTAAAAACAATGGACGGATCTCATCTGTATCGCCGAACGCTAAAAATCCAACGACGTCTCCGTCTTTGTTTAAGATGACCGAGCCCTTTGGTCTCTCTGTTGGCTGGAAGTCGTCAAACTTTTTCAGTTTAGCTTTGTTGCCATGAGGGTGAAGGTAGAACGAACCAAGCTCGTCTATAGCAAGGACGTAACATGCAGTTTGAAACTTTCCTGTTGTGACGTCTTCTACCACGACATAGCAAATAAGCTCAATCTTGGTGTTAGCCAAAACTTTCACCTCATGCCCATCAGCTTCACTTTGCGCTTGATAGCATGATTGGGATCGATCTGGTGACAAATTATCATTGAATATATGAAACCGTGTTTGCTTGTGCAATGATTCCAACGGAAATAACGTGAGACTTGATGCTTCATTGGCAAGATGCAATTCCATGAACTCAACACCGTCAAGGCTGAATTTTTCAGTGTCGCGTTTATACCACTTGTCAGGTAAGAATTCCACCCTCCAAGGTGTGCCGGAGGTTAAATCAGCTTTACAAACTACCTCGCTGGTTGTGGCTACAGCTGTTTTGTATATTTTTGGATCTAGCGATACAGCCTTCTGACACGCTTCTGGCAGAGTTTCCCTTTGCAACGAAGGATAGTTTATGACAGATGCACTCCCAATCGTCACAAAGCAATTTCCTTGAACTTTTTTTTGGACTCTGCCCACAGAAAGTGGAATATCTACACTTCCAGAGCCACTTTTAGCCATATTGTGAGCGGACAACGGCCTCGCGATTGCGGAAGTGTAGAGGGCAATGGGTGAATCAATGGGTCTTGACGGCAGCGTGATTTTATTGACGAAGAGATCATGGAGACGAGGCAGCTGTTATGAAATGATCAACAATCAAAGTATCCACAGTAACATGACGTAAATGGTGGTCACGAAACTGCAGAAAAAGGGGTCTCTTGTGGATGTTTCGTCCAGTCTACGTAGAAAAACGTAAGTAACAAAGGAAGATAAATTACTTGTCTATGGAAAGAGCGTTTTTTTTTCTTGGTGTTATTTGCTGTTGTTTTTTGAAGCTTCATTTGCCTAGTCCACCTATTAATCCCTGTTTCTCTCCCAAAATGGCATAAAGTGGCTTTGTTTGTCGCTTTTTATATTACCCCTAATCTGTGGAACCTGTATTGAGCGGTCAACCTAGATGAAGCGGCCATTCCCCGTGGATGACAGCTAAATACAGATTAAAGTGTAGTCTCTTTTCCAAGCGCCCGCCCTAACTACGATTACATTAGAGAGCTTAAGCTCCAGACGTTCCTGAGGTCACGAACGCTTACCGGAAGTCATTAGAGGAACTATGTACATACTACGCATATCATGACGTTCGCGTGGTCACGTCGCAGACGCCAGAACGCCACTTTTCAGGTTGAAGGTAGGACGCCACAAAAAATATGTTGTTATTTTGTTTATAGGAGATAAATTATTGACTCAAAACCATAAAAAGCTCTTCTGCTTTTCATTAAGTGATTAAAAAACGTTTTCGTAGCGCGTAAAGTGGTTTTTGCTTAATCGATAGATTAAACGGGATTCGACAATGGCAGACAATTTTCTCGCCAAGTCTGGGTGAGTTAAGTCATTTGATTTCATGTCCATTTGAATCATCAAATGCAGAACTAAGATTTTTTTAAACCGGGTTTAAGCTTATCACAAATTACTTTGAGCGATAATTTAGAATTAAGACACTTAAGCGACATTTAGATACAATAACAAAGTGCAAAATGAGATAGATGATTGTCTTTCTGCATCGGTTGTATTTTGTAACTGCACATTGTATATCGTATGCATCTATGCTAGGTTTTGAGCAACCGACTACAAACATAAGAATAACAAATCTCGCTGTGGTTAACGAATTTAGAAAAAGAGAAATGGTCCTCTAGGCATCCAGATCATGCACTGAAAACTTCATGCTCGCTCGTTTGTTCGCATTGTTTACACAACTATGAAGTGGTAAATTTCAAGTCGCCTAATAAAT